AATTCATTTTGTGTGGTTGATAAAAAATAATGTAAATAAAAATGCTTGGAGATGAGATTGGGGGGCAATTACTCTACTTGCCTCAACCCATAAAAACGACACTATTTATTTCAGTTTTGCTTATTCTGATGCCAAACAATCGTCGGGAGACATTAGATATTTATTTGATATTAGAGTCAAATATGTTTTCCATTTTGCTTTAGCCAAGTGGTGATATAAGAAAATTATTCTGTTAATCGCTACCCTAATAATAACAACGTGTATCTCTAATAGTATAATTTTTAACGATAAGCAAAAAAGATACATGTTGTCTTATATAAAACTGTGTAAGACATTATTATATCAGGGTCGTAGGTGGTCTGTTTCAAACTCTTTCTGCTCTCAGGTTTTTCATCGAATTATCACAAAAAGCATATCAAACGAACGTTTATTATCTCTTTTATACTCTACTAAAATTTCGCCAATATTTATGATTCAAAAATAACATAGCAGTATTAAAATGTAGAAAAAATATTTTGAAAATTAAATTTTTTACAGTAGCACAATTATAACATACTTTTATTAATTTCAACATTGGGAGAATATTTCCAATTTTCAGTGACTATAGTTTCAATTAGATTAAAATCGGTTCGTCAAGTGCTAAGAATTTTCATGGACAGACATAAAAAGACTTACTATCACAAACCTGATACCTTCTTGACTTTGCATCGAAGCTAAAACACTTATGGATATAATCAAAACATTTTAATAAATTTCAATACTGGGTAGTAGAGTTAGTATTTGGAATTAGTACATGTACCATTGTAAGAGAAAATAAAGTAATTAGGTCCATATATTATCATGGCGTCTCAAATGAGCAAGCTTAAATTTTCAACAATTTCCGTATTATCTTTGTAACGTCTAAGAATAATATTTTAAAAGATTTATTGGATAACCCCCAAGATAAACTTGAAGTAGGTAAATCGGACATTTATTAATACAATAGGAAAGCATAGTAAAATGTTACATAAGTCAAATAAAAAGAAATATATGGGTTAGGTTTAAAAAGAGTTAAAAAAATAAAAAATCAAGAAGTTGGTAAATCTTCAGTAGCCATGGGTATCCATTAATGGTACAAGAGGATATTTTAAAGGGGTCATTTCCAAAAATATGCAATCCTTAAAAAAATTGGCTCTTGAAAAAATCAAAACGCTTGCCAAGTTAAAATCGATATGTGACTGTCTTGATTTTTTAAAAATGTTTTATCATATTATAATCTTATTATCATAAGCCTTCTAAATACATTGTAACTATTTTGGCATTTATGTCTAGTCAGGCAATGGTAATTGTATATTAATGCCGTGCTTCCATATAATAACAGTCCACTGGATGGCGTACAGGTCTATTTGTTAACATTCGTACTTTTGAAGATAAGTACTATTTATATTCTTCTTTTAAATAAAACAATTTTCCTTTAAATATTTATATATTATAAATATATTCATATATAGTTATTCATATATTACACTTATAAATCATAAAACTTGTAATCAGGATATAAATAAGGAAATTGGAGATCATATAGTTTTTGGAATAATCCATCATTTTTTTTAATTAAACACTATGCCGCGACCTCCCTGTGCTGGGTTTTTTATTTTTTAGTTATCTTGTAATGATATTATAGATATTTATTAAAATATGCATTATTTTCTATTTACCACCCATTTTATATATACAAGCGTACATATATTAGTACGCTAAAGATGTATTATAGCATAAGTATATTTTGCTTACTTTTCAAATATTACGAGTTAGTATTTTAATTTTTGATGAAATAAAAATGTTATTGTTATTTTAATGGTGTGTGTACCATGTATTGTTGCTATTGTTAATATTTTGTAGTATTCTTTGTAGAAGTTTCAAGGATGCGAATACCATCGCAAACAAAAAAACAATAGAAGAAGATTACAAGTAGTTAATTATTATTTATTTTTATTATATTTCATTTTAAAATAACTACGCCAATCAGCTTTTATAATGTTATACAAAAAAACAATTGATTTAATAAATAAACATAGCTACAAATATAAAAACATAAAAACATTATTTTACAACAATTTGAGAAACAGATATATATATATATATATAATCTTTCAATATTTGTTTATATATACAAATATATAAACGAATGTTTAAACTTATAATGATCTACGTATTCCGTAAAAGTTTCGCATTATTTTGTTCAAAAAGGACTTTTTTCAAAATTGACTGACTAAGTAGTATATAGAAAAAATCATATAGATTGTAGTTTGATCGTATAATGTTTCTGTTGTATTAACAGTTTTATAATGTAACTAAGTCCCAAGTTGCTAATTTTATCGATCTATGATATTGTTCAAAATATACTTTAGATTTATATGTTAAACGTATCAATTATATTATCAACAGGCATTATTTTATACATATATTATTCTAAACAAAAATGTTTATTAGCACTACAATTTTTAATCTCTACGTGTTGAAGATTATTTTATAATTTTTTATGTAGTTGTGTTTATTATACGGTTCCTGATTATTTTTCAAATCAACAGCATTTATATATCCAAAAAATGCATTTGGGAGAAAATTACTGACATTCTGGTAAAAATGATTTATTTGTTTTTGCAGTTTTGATGAACAGTTGTGCGGTTTATATTTTGGAATAAATAATTTCATGACTTATTTTTTATCTTTACGTTTTCGAAATACTGCACTTCATCAAATTTTATTAAGAACAATCTATCTAACAATGTACTTAAATATCCCCTTTTTAGTACCATCAAAACTAATACTTTGAGTTTTATAGTAAATAAAAATGACTTATATTTCAATGGTAAAGTCAAATTGTCAGCGAATTTATACAACCGGTTGTGACACAGATTTCTTTATGTTTTTTCTATTTAAGGTAAGAACGCATTGTACAAGATTGGAATAAAATTACTGTTTCTATTGATAGGGTCATTTCCTTTTCTTGATATTTGGAATCATCAACTTTCAACAAACATTCAAGCTCAAAGGTAGATATTAATTGTTAAAAGGTAGAACACTATCTATCATCAGCTATTGAGAGGTCCCAGTTTAAAATCCGGCTATATCTTCTTTTTTCTCGACTTTTCTCTTAAGTTTGTGAGAAAGAAATAATTTTTACAATATTTCATATTATCTTCATCGCATAAAAGGTATACCTTTCATATAATGAGGATTAAAACTATTTACCTTAATTTTTTTATTTGAAAATTTTATCAACCTAAATCTTACAATTTTGAGTTGAACGCTAACGCCGAATTGTTGTCACTTATAATTTATAATCAATGTCTTATACTATAAAGTTTTTTCAGAAATACAATACAGACAAAATAAAGGTACTTAAAGAATACTGTTAACGTTGAAAACCGTACGTCTGTCCATTGTGTTTGCGTGAGTAATAGCAGTAGCGGCTCTTTCGTGCTTCCTATTAGACTTTATTGCACATTGAATGATAAAGTCATTTGTAGCTCAAAAATTTTACACGCATTAAATTCACAATAGTTTACTTAATCTACTAAATAGATTCTATTAAATAAAGAAAAATACAAAGTTTAAAAACAACAAAAGTAATTTTTTTATAATACTTATTACTTTAAGAGAAATTATGCGGAGGCTAATATTAAAAGAATCATTTTATATATGGACGGTTTTTAAAGTTTTTAAACTTGACCATTGATTACATAAAAAATAGTAATTTTTCAATAGATCAAAAACACGAAATACTTTTATGGTGTGGTAAATGGGAATTTTCAAATTTAAATCACAATAAAAAATAATAATAAACTACTAAAAGAAACAAAATTGATGCTGCTAAAAATAATGAACATTTTCCAATATAACTGATCAATAACCAGAAATGAAAAATTGTACTTGACTATATTCTTACAAAAAACTATCCATATACTTCTATTTCTAAATTCTTTTAAATCTTTTGTCACCTTAATTGTAGTAATTTACAATCATATAAACTTTGACTTAGTCCTGTCGTCACTGAATAGTATGACATTATAATATAACATATATATTAGATGTATTGAGTATATACTCTATCGTATTGGGTTTCGTCCAAAGGAATATATAGAAGAAAAATTTTCACTATGCCCTCCAAACGAAAAAATGTTGTATCTTCACCATATAATTATTTTTGTTATGGCAGATATGATACCCATATTTTTTTCCGCAGAGGATTTTATAAAATAAGACATCACAAAGTATAAAATTTCAGTAAAAAAGTGCTTGTGACGTTTTTGTAATAATCGATTCAATTATGAATTAATTTTATAAAAACATTGATGTGTGAAATTTGTATCGTTGCCCATCATTAGTATTTAAGTAGCTTCATGAGTTTTTAAAGATAAACACTTGGTACTACATAATAATTATTGTAAATTTTATTGAAAAGAAGCTGTTGAATAAAGTAAATATATTCTACTTAACCTAAAAATAACACAAGTTATACAATGAATCGTGATTATAAAGATTTCATTTAAGTTACCGTAATAGAAATGGGTTAATTTTATCTCGTCTGATAAAGTAACACATACAGTTATAAAAGATAAGATTATAACGTAACTGTTGGATTTATAAATGTTATTTTATCAATTACAGTTCACTTTTTGAATTTTAGAAAATACTTTAGTTGAAAATTTGATAATAACTTATTTTAAATATCTTCGAAAAAAAAAAGTGGGTTTGACATTTAAATAGATTTAACACACAAAAAAATAACTGCGACCACTTTTTTAATATTCTTGTTGACGTATATATAATTGGGTACTTATAGACCTCATAGTGCAATAATAATACACTTTTTTGTCTCTAATTGCTGAGATTATAACAAAATTGTTTAAAAAACAAAACGTTTAATGCTTTAAAGAGCATGCGCACAGGCGCGTGACAGCCTAAAATGGCTGAGGGTAAAGCACTACCATAATCGTGTAGTATAGAGTAAAATTCGCACCGGGGCTTCAGTGATAGCATCATAGTCATCCGGTCGAAATGTGGTGCGTCCATTGTAGGTTATATAGCCATCTACAATCCGTTTATTCCGAATTTTTCTTGTAATTAAAATCATTTTTTTAATTGATAGCATCGCAATTGACTCTAAAAACAAGAAGTGCGATGATTGTGATTGATTAAGTTGTTAATTATTAATTATTTAAGAAGACTAATTCCTAAGTTTTTAATTGTCGTTGTAAATTGATTAGCAAAATGGTCGTGGAAGATCTTTCCAAGGCAGTTCAAATCGAAAAGTAGGTGATATTATATACTGTCACATTAAAAATAAATTTGAAATAAAGGTAATTTCTTTGAAAGTATTTAAATACGAATAATTTTATTTTTATAATTAATTTTCATTAATTTTTTTAAAGAACTATATTAAACCACGAACTTCATCGATGAAAACCGCGAATGTGAAAGTATAACATTAATACTTTGGAAAGAATTAACTATTCAAACTCTAAAATATTGTTGAATAATTAGTCTATAATAGATTTTCATTATAAAATTTTGTCAATTCTAACTCATTATCAAAGTAAATAAAATATTCTTTTACAAGAATATATATTACTTTTTTATCTGTAGTCGAAATTGAATTCACAATTTCCAATCTTACACTATTAATCATTTCTAAAATCAATGGTTTTTGCGACTATGCTTACTATTTTGAGCTTCATATTTTTTTCTTGAGAAATGTAAGAATATTGTTTTAGCAGAATAAAAATATCAACCATTATCCTATTTTTTAAGACTTGTGTAATTCAATGTAATACTAATAATAACTATATTAATAAAATAAAATATTAATAAATTGTATTATATGTTTCATGTTTCACTAGTAAGCCAATTATTCAAGATAGCCTTTTAATATATTTAAATCTCATGTAAACTAATTTAAATTAAGCGCCAAAAAACGTATTTTCTTTACAGTTTACAAAATTTCTAGTATATATATTTATAAAAATTTGTGCAGTATTCATACAATACTGAACATATTAGTGTTAATTAAATATTAATAATAATATATTAGTTATGTTAGTGAGAAGGTCAAAATAGTAAATTTTTAAAAATCAAAACACACAAAATATTTTAAGCTAATGATAAATATGACTTACCGATTTCAAATAACTCTATAGTAATAACTAATTTATTCATAAGATAAAAGTAACAACCCTGAACGAGGATGAAATTGTTCTAATAAAATTCTTTGAAAAAATAAAATTTAATTTGGCTACTTACTTCTTATATGTCAAAATGATATTTTAAAATGACAAGTTTTGAAAAATATCTTTTAATCAAAGTTTTAGCAAAAAAATCAGTAGTTACATTCATGACTCAACATAAATTCAAATTTGATTGTGATTACAATCTAGTCAAAAATATTTTAACTCGATTATTATTTTCGCATCTATGCTAGATGCGTTGATGATTGAGGATTAAAATGTACAATATTTACTGAAGTTTAATTATACTTTAAATAATGTGATAAACTTTCTCTTAACAATGATCATCAGTAAGTTATTTATTTACTAATAATTATGAGATAACTTAAAATTATTTTGTATAAAATCTGAAACATAAAATAAATTTTAATGATTTTCTTGACTATATCAGTCATATTGTACTTGAAACTTACTAATTTATTTTAATTATAAGAATTTAGATGATGTTTTTTAATATTCGTGAACAAATAGCAAATTTAACTAATAATATATTAGTATCAAAGCCCGTTTTTCTTAAAGTATTTTTACCTGGTTTATACTATGGTAGGTCATATCTGTGCCTGATATGTAATGTTAACTATCAGATAGTTTCTTATTTGTTTAAATCAACAAAACATACAATTTTAATTAGGCATACCAGAGCTTCTGCAGATTTTATGATAATTTTGATATGCATGCATAAACTAGAATAGTGTTATGAACATTGTAATTAGTCTCATTATTTTGAATTCAATAAGATAACTACAAAATTAAAATATATGTTTAGGTTAAAATAATGAAATACAATATGGTATTAATATTTATATCACGTTTAAATTTTCATTTTTATAAATATTTATATAAGTATAAATTCCCAAATAAAAATAAACTATTCTTCATTCAGACACCAATAAAATTTCCATTAATACATTATATTATACTTGTATTATAGTTGTGTTTTATATTACGTTTTATCCTAGTATTAAACTAATAATGCAAATATTAATAAGTCAATTATAATTATTACTTATTAATTAATACGTTATAATTTATAATTATAAAGAGAAAACTAGAGATTAAGAATACGCTTAAAAAATTCATTATGTTATCTTATATCAATGCGTATTTGCTTTGATGCTAAGCTGAGAATGAATATATTTATTCGAACATTAATAACTGTAATTGAATACTTCTGTCATAGTAGGTAATTACGAATAGATCGAATTAACTAAATGTCTTTACAAACAAACATATCATATAGCATGTTTCTATTAAATAAGTCAAGGGCAATGAAATATGATTTTCTTTATATAACAACATTATCATATAAAAAAACAAAATCAAATAATGTTCGTATTAGTTTTTATCGTGTAAATAAACAAGGAGAAACCTACACGCACAATAAAAATTTGCGTTATGCTCAATGCATTTTTATGCATTGTTAGCAACAAGTCTTGTAATTTTTTAAAGAATATTTATAACGAATGCAAAGATTGTTTTATTTTATTATTTCCTGTTCATTTATCGCTTAAAAAAAATTAGAACGACTTGTTATATGTGCAAACTTTCTATATCTTTTAAAGAAGTCGTTTAATCATTTTTAAACCTATACATTTTAAAAATTATGAAATTGAGTGATGAATAAATTCCATATGAAAAATTAAAAAGAGAGTATACGCATAAATTATGATATAATAATATTTAATGAGATAATATTGATTCTTTGCCATAAATATCATACTTTTTACTTTTAATAATGTCTATGATGAATCAAAGAGATAATAAATAGTACAATAAAATGGAATGGAATGGAAGATAATAAAATGATGGTAATAATATGGGATTGCAGTTAGTATAAAGTGGCTGGACATATAGGGGTCATAGTCAAATAAATAAAAATGTCCAAGATTATATTTATAAGTCAAAAAGTAAATATTCATTTATTAATTTAACATAACTATAAATTAAAATTTTTTATTAACTATGAAGAGTGGTCGTCGATTTTTTAACAAATCTAATAACTTTTGATCTACTACATACTTTTAATTTCTGTTTTTCTTTAAAAACGTGTTTATTTTTAATAAATAATAATTAATTTAATTTAACAATTTTAACAGTATTTTTTTTTCTTCAAAATAGCTGTTTTCTAGATCTTTATACTTAATAAGTACTCGTCTTAATATTGTAATTGACCCATTCAAATTTTTTTTTACTATTTTAAACAAATATTAATAGTTTATAGTCTAATAATATAATAGTTATTACATTGGTCAAAATATTGTGAATCGCTTTGTACATGAGATTGAAAGTTATTAAAAGCGATAACTATTCAGACATTGTAAATAAGTATATTTTCTGAAGTCGTTCATTGTGTCTACCCAACGAACAGATATATTAATATGCAATATGAATAGATTGATAATAACACACCACTTGTTGGGAATTGTATAATCTTGATAAAAAGTCAATACTTACTTAATTTTTCAATTGTTTTAGAATGCGGTATCTGCCCAGGCAAAAGTACCCTAGCAGTTCTTTAGAGTTGTCATCTTTTCCGGACTCCACCCATGGGCATGACTTTAATCAAGGCCATAGTCGAGTAGTCATGACCAGGAAAACAGAACGCCGGATATACGTAGCTCCAACAAAATCGGGACAGGTACATATTAATTTAAGAAAAACAATACATTTATAGTTGCTATTCTATTTGAAGCATCAACCGACAAACATATTTTCATACTATGAGATAGTTTATAATTTAGATGTATAATAGTATACATTAACAGCAAAATGTAACAATAAAAATATACATTACAACCTATCATGTTTCAGTTAAAAATTTAAAGTAAATACGTTTTCATAATTTTTTGATCGCTGTCGTAACAAAATGTCTGTATTCAATATGATTTTGCCGTCCCTGTATATAAAATTTTCTTCAGAAGAACAATTTCATCTTATTTGAATATCTTTTTCAATATCCTTCAAATCATGACGTAATAACTTATATGATCCTGTTTTAAAATAATTAAAAAATAATTTCTTTTAATGTTAAAGATGTCCACATAAACAATTTGTGTCAAGGGTCGAGTTTCAATTAATTAACCCAAATTTACGACATGTGTTTTCGTCTACTACAGTTTAGTATTTCAATTGAAGTTCCTATTTATAATTGTTATTATTTAATTTCTATTCAAAAATTAAAATGCCATTTATACATAAAAATAATTATCTCTCAATAGCATAACTTTCTGAAACTGTTATTGTCCAATTTTATTTAAATAGTTCTTGAGCTTGAAAATATAGTCTATGTATTAATTTATGTTTCATGTTTTTAAATTTAATTTTTCGATGAATTAAAAAAAAAATGTTGAATCTTAGTAATTTAATTTTAGGTTCCCAAAATTGAAACGCTTACTAAGGAAACTGTACAAACATTTCGAGGTAATAAAACTGAGAGGAAAATAACGTCTGAAACGAAAAATATTGAAAATACTATCAACAGCAAGTTAGGTATGAGATTTAGATAAGGCAATGTTGCTGATTATGATACGCCATTAAAATGTTTAATGAAATAAAAACCATTTGGCTACAGCGTGACATACAAATTCAAAGCGTGTGATGTTTTTCACACACTAGTTAATTTCTTATTTTCATTCAATAATAATGTAACAAATATATTTTATAAGGCAAGACTTGTTCAACTGTTATTACTTCAACAAGTCTTGCATTTTAAAGACTTATATGTCGATATTTAAATTTTTTAATTCTAGATCATTTTTGTCTTTTCAGACGGATCCATAGACGACTTCCTGCCGTCACTGTCTTCCAGATCTTCGCGGTCGTCCACTTCGTCGCCTGAATTGAAAACGTCGTTTTACAAACAGGTATATGGTTATACTACTAAGTATCACAAAGGATATATATACTATTTAATAAATGAATGTTAACGATACTTATAACATAAATAATATGTCTATATTATTTTGGCGTGTTAAATAATTATTAAGTACAATAATATGTAATGTAATTGGTTTATTTATTTTATTTAATTAATGAAGGGATCGGTTTGGTCTAGTGGGTAAAAACGTAAGTTTCGGCGCATGGGGTCCCGGGTTCGATCCTCTAAGGTACCAATGAGATTTTTTTTGTAATTTTCTCATTGGAAATATCGGGTCTCTGATGCATGCCGAACATAATACCCGCCCCGTCCATTAATTAATATTAATGATAATATAATTGAAATAATTTTTATTAGCTAGATTTAATAAAATTGATCACCACTGCGGTCATGAACTAGGATATCTTAGTTCATAATTGCGATTAAAAAATCAATGGTATAAAATATTGATGACATTTTGGATTATATGAATATAATCACATTGTATTATCATGTTACAATTACTACTATAGAATGGATTAGATTTATTTTCTGTATATTATTATAATCATAGTATAATAATAATAAATATATAATCTTCTAATTAAATTATATTTTAATTGACTTAACTATAATGTAATGATTTTATTTAGCAAAATTTATTTTTGAAAATATTATTGTTTAAAATTTCCAGGTTAACTCACAGTTTTCCTAAATCTCACACAAAAATTAAAATCCCATAATTTAGGAATAAATCCCTTGAGTTATTATCCCTGATATAGATGATAACGTGATGTGCGGCTGAAGGAAACACGATAGCATGTAAATGTAAATTCATTTGTTTTAAGATGAATTTTTTAAACCCTGCATAAAAAAAATTGTAAATTTTATTTCATAAAATGTTTTTTAATTATTGATTATTTAGTTTTGTCATAAATTTTAAAAGAAAAGTTCACTGTTGATGAATTTGAACTAGTTCATTTTAAGATCACTGTATGCATATTCCTCATATATAAACTTAATTAATAATACTCACAATTTTAATACAATTATTATTTTGTTAATTTTTTTTTTAATAACTATTGCATTCTTATACAGCGTTTAATGCATAATCTTATTATTTATTTTTAATAAAAATTGTTATCGTCTTACCAATTTTTTTGGTAAAAAATGGGCTAAAAAAACCATATTGAAAATTAAAAAAAAATTATAATAGACTAGTTTTTTAATAATACTTTCTGAGATATTAGCATTTGAAAATTTAGTAAAGGAACTATGGTAGAGTTCAGTGACGCTTTATTTTTACTATGACGCATAAATAAGACATCTACGTAGAATACTTTACTCGCCTATAACTAAAAATTATTAAGAGTTATTAAAGATGTCATAATCTGGCGGGACACTCTGCATATATATATATATCCGAGTTAGAACAGTCGCTTATTCAATAAGTGTTTTTTAAATAATAGAGAAAACTAGAATTTTCAGAAAATTGTTTAATATCTACTACAATCGAACCAATATTCTATACAATGCGTTGAAAACTGTTTTACAATAACATGATCACTCTCACTTTCAAGCAGCAATATTATAAATAGCTCTATAAGCACATATTATATTATCACTATTATATTATGATGGACATAAACAGAAAGTGACAATTAGACAACGCTAACAGATGATTATGGCAGCAAGTGTATCGCATGGGAAAGTAACTGACAAGTTGTTGTGCACGCGCGTTTAAATATCACAAAACACATATTATGTTTTATGTATTTAGATATTGAGACATTTTGAGACCATTTGATAATGATTCTATAAAATCGGTATTTCTATTTTTTTTTTTACTGAAAGTTGAAATACGCATGGTTAAACAATTTTAATGAGCTCCGTGGCTTACAGTTTAAAGCAAAACTTGATATGCTGACAATTAAAATGTATAAAACACAAATAAGGTCGACATACTGCTATGTACAAAATATGATTGTAAATTAAACTATTTAAGGATTATCGCATTATGTTTTTTATCATATTAATTAAGAACAAAAACCAAAGGAGATAACAAAATGTGTCACCGTTCGTCTTTTTTATATAACTTATATTTAGTAATTATACATGTAGTAATAAATACTAAAATAAGTAATTTGTAATTATGTATAGCTTGATAATTATGTTAAGTTTAGACATTATACATGACCATTACAATAATAATTCAGTCCAATATAAAACAATAAAAAAATATTTAAAAACAGTTAAAAGTAAATCATGAACAGATATGCCATCAAATGGACCAACTTAGGGCAGTTTAATATTTACAGTATTCAACATTTAAAATTTGTAAACAAATATTTTGTGTTTCTTAATAATACTTATAAATATTTTACTAGTGCTGTAGATTTAAACTATTAAAATGATAATGAATTATAGACTTAAACCGTTTGACGAAACTCATTTAAAATTGATCATTAAATCACAAGACCTGCGCTCAAGAAGAATGATAAAAGAGTGTAATTGATAGAAATATTATGGGAGTTGTGTATTAATATGTTAGAGGGAGTGTTTCAATCAGATGAAAAACTTATGTGATTTAAAAGAGTTAGAAGAAGAGGCAAATTGCTTGCCTTTATTTATAGTTTTCATAGTGGCCTACATAAAATTTAATACTCCCCCGATTAGCATGTGTGTTTAAATTTCAATTAGTCCTTTTAAATACTAATAACATATACTATAATTTAAATAATATTTATATCAGTAAATGTGGACATGTATTATAATTTATAAATTGGTATGTTTTAGAAATGTGCGACATTAGGTAAGTATCAAAAAAAGATACTCATCGATACCAATACGTTTGTACAAGAATGTTTAGATGCACACAATTATTATAGAAAAAAACACTTGGCTCCTTCGATGAGTTTAAGCAAAAAAGTAAGTTGTAAATTTAAGTTAATTGGGTTTAGTAATATTTTTAAAAGAATAATTATTACTTTTTAGAATGTGTAATTAAATCTGGATTTATATTCATCAATAATTTTTGTTGAGTTATTCTATATATATATTTATATATATATCATTAACTAGTATAAATTTTTATTAACATGTTTGAAAACTTAGAAATGTGTACCAACTGAGGTTATAATGTTAAGTGGGGCTATTCTCTTCTAAAGGGGGAAATATTTTCCGTTTTATAAGACAAAACATATTTCTATGCTACAGTATATTCCACAATTAGCACACACTTGGGTCCTTTTAAAATGACTAAAAGAAAATTTATAAATCCTGATAGTAGTAGTGAAATAGAACATTTCTAGGTTTATACGAACACACAATTGATTTTTAATTTCTTTAAAAAATTTCACATTTTATTTATTTTTGTCCAAGTATTAAGATAGAAGAAAATATTAAGTTATTTGTTGACAAACATTTTTATTTTATTAGGAAACATTATAATTTTTGATATTGCAGTATAATTTTGTTTTTTCAAATAGGCACATTGTTTATCTTAAGGCTTGGTTAATGCACTGTTCACTTATAACAAAACAATATGTGTATGTTCATAAATTAGTCGTATTTTAAAATTGTATAAGATTTTGTGATAATATATTTGTAACAGTGGCAAAAAAATATATAAACGTGACTGCATTGCTTTCACCTCTTTGCACTCGCACGACTTTAGTTGTATTAATTTTCAATCGTACTTTTTATTACACAAATAATTTATTTTATTTTTTAATAATTATGGTTGAAAGTGCTTTGTTATTTTGACGATGGTAAAAGAGTCCTTAAAACGTCGTGATTCTGTTCAGTATCCATGAATATAATTAGGTTTTGTTCAGTCAATGCCTACATTTAGAGATTGATTTTGATCTTTGTCGGCTGATGTTAATATATATTTACCATTCTTATAACGAGCTAAACTAGAGCGTATGATAATTTAAATTGTTAATAGTCTCGAGTTGAGATAAAAGAGAGGAAATTTATTTGCATTTGTTTCTTTTTTCTATCAAGTGAGAAGCCTATTTAAAATTCTTTGGAACTTAATTTCTTCTTGTATAGGTATAAATATATTATTCATAATAATTTTAGTTATTCCTTCAGTTTAACTTTTAAAATGAAGGTGATTTAAGCAGATTCGCTTTAATTGATTTATACTGACATATTTTCCCTATTAGAGTGTGATACGTTACCATGTTTTCCTCTACCGCACATTTATCAATTTATTAACCTATATGGAAGTGTATTGGAATGTATATCATAAGTGCACGATACCCTAGTGATAATATAGGATATTTTTTGTACAGAAACCAATTGTCATGTGTACATAAATAAAGTATAATAAAATAATCAATGTTGTCATTAGGAAAGTATAAAAAATCACTTCAATAAATGTTGAATTTGATTTTAAATTTAAATAACACGCAAGCTATATATTTTAAAAGCAATTTAAGTAATTATTTTTAAATATTTAAACGTTCACCAGAAATTGATTAATCCATTACACGGACAGTAAAAGGTAAATTTTCTCTAAGAAGAGGAGAAATGAGTCTATCTATTTTCTCTTATCTGACGATTCATAAAATCTACGACTGTCATTTCAACACATGGAATTCTCAATTAACAATTATTAATTATTCTTATAATAATATTTCTAAAAATTATTATTATTAACATTTTAAGAGTATAATTAATATAATCTTACTATACAATCAGTATCTTACCCAGTGTTCTAGTTTAGAAAAAAATCGAGTGACTGGTATTCCCTTGTGGTAAGCATTCCCCTAATAATCATATTTTACAACTAATCTGTCAGTACCAATATTAGAAAATTGACAAAGCATTTGAGTGTTATAAGATGTCTATATGATTATTATTCATAAACTTATAAATTTAATTTAATTTTATGTAATAAAATATCTATTGATGTATCAAGGTAAATTAGATAGGCAACTCAAGTATCAAAAGTGTGTTTAACATAATATGGTATTTTTTTTTTTATTTGAATGAAAGTGTTGATATATACATAAATAGTATAAATTATTTGACAAGAAAGCATCAAAGTTTTTCTAGAAATTTTAATGTTTGTTTAGCCCTTTTTGTTATATAGTTTTATAGCCGCTGTTCATCAACGCACAGGGACATAATCGAATACAAAATATCGCTTACCACTAAATCTTTCTAAATCGTCACTGAATCTCATATTTATTGTAAAAAAATTGTAAAGTGTATAGTCGAATCAAATGTCTATTAATTACTTATTTAACGTACCACCATGGATTCGTAACACATGTAAACATAATTTTTAATTTATGTTTGGTTTATTGTAAAAGAACTTATTTGCCTTTTTTGCGTAGTAAATATTATTATTATTATTATTTAGCTACCAGTTGTCATTTTTATTATAAGCCAACGATGACTATATACTACATTTTTTAAATGTTTTTAGTTATGCAAGTATGCTGAAGAATGGGCCAAATATTTAAGTATAAAAGGAGTTTTAGATCATAGACCATCATCACCTTATGGTGAAAATTTATTTTGTTGTTGGACATCATTGCCAACTTATAGAGTCGATGGCAAAGAACCTGTGGACAGTTGGTACGAAGAAATTAAATTCCATCCATTTGGTCGAGAACCAACTACTCTAAAATCAGGTAGGTAGTATATGTACGGTGTACAACAGTGGAGTATTATTAAGATCTTAAAATATTAAGTTTTTGAAATTTTTAATATAAAATTTTAAAACAAATAAACCTATATAATTATTAAAAACTGGGACCATAGATTTTAATAAGTTTCAGATTCTATAAAGTCATTTTAGAGTACCGATTCTAACTTATAAAAATGAATTTAATCATAGGCTAGAGCGTTTTTAGGATTTTGTCTTGGGGGATTTGTATAAATTTCTTCATTATCTTCTCCAAAATTTCAAATTACATTTATTTTGGATGTAGTAGATTTCTCTCCTTCATATATCATCATAAGAATGTTTATGTCCTAAGTGAATTACATAAGAAGTTATTTAACTTAAGATGGAAAAAGCCTGAGCTCTCTCTGAAAATTTAAAAAACTACATATATGAATATTTAAAAATATTTTTTGGGAAAGAGAAAATTAAGTTTAACTCTCATATTGCTAAAAAAACCTACCCTACACTTATGAGAAGGAAGAGAGTCACTAAAACATAGTTGCACAAGTTATTTAGTACAATTTCTTTTTACTGAGTAATAAAAAATATAACGATACGATACAAGTCGTTGTACGAACCGTTAAGAATATTCAATTTTTAAAGATACTGATTTGTATATCAATAAAAATTCCTAATCCAGTTCGGATTTTACATATTTAAAAGGTTCTGGTTCAAGAACCGATTTTTAGGTTATGTTCAGTCTTTAGTAAAAATAAATACAAAATAAAAATAGAATTATCAGAAAAATCCTGCATTTTTTGTAGGCCATTTCACACAAGTTATATGGATGAGTAGTAAAGAAGTTGGTGTCGGCGTTGCATCAGGGCGTTCTGGTCAAGTATTTGTAGTGGCTTGCTATGATCCACCTGGAAATTTTCTCGGTCAATTTAGGGAAAATGTACCACCACCAGGGTATGAATTTTAATTTGCTTTAAAGTTAATTTTAATTTAATTTAATTTTTTTGTGTGACGTATATTAATTATATTTTTTCAACTATTATTTTTATTTATTTATGTTATGCCATAAAAACTGAATAAGTATGTTGTATCTCTTGGTAACCCTTAGATTTTCGAGCCACCCGCTAATATGTTATTTTTAATAAAGATGTTTATGTAATATATATTAACAGCTTTGTAAAATAAATTAAATACATAACAATTATGATACGTTATGTATTAGTATAATGCTCTAATATTCAAACTTGCAATAAATTTAGTGGATTCAAAAATGAACAACACATATCAAAGATTTTGCAGCCAGTTTATACTGATGAGCAATTGTACAATGACAGTTTAAAGTTTCACAATGAGTACCGATCAAAACATGGTTCAGGACCATTAAAACTAAATAAAATGGTGAGTTTAATATTCTTTTCAAATTTTTATTTAACCTAAAATAATAAAAATTATTTTTAAAAAATATTTTATTTCACAATTCTTTCGATCTATGTTCGTACAAATTTTTTATTCTACTTTCATTAAATGATTGTTAATTATTGAATACTAATTCATAAATGTAATTTATGCAATTAAAGTTTTGATTACCTAACAAACGTTAACCGCTGATTCGGTCTAAAAGTTTTAACATAGTAACGCAGAAGTATAAACGGAAGGTAAAATTATATTCATATAGATAATTTAATATTTTGTAAGAGTATACGTTGGATAGGTCACAACGGATAATAATTCGGTCTCTTACATGGCGCCATAAAAAGAAAATGAAAGTCCTCAATGTACTAGGCGAGACTTGACGGACTTCTTTCAGACTTGTCGGACCACAGAATAATTGTTTAAAATAAAAAAAGTAAAAAAAAAATTAATAATGTTTTTAAATTTTATTATCATAAATAAAATAAGCTAATACTAAACTGAAGAATAGAAAATGTTTTCATCCATTCCATGTGAAAATAATATTAAATATAGAAACAACTGTAAACTATAAAATAGTTAGAGATGTAACTGATGTGCGTTGATTCGTTGACAGTTGAAGTATATCAAAACCTCGTGATAAGTTGTTGCAGAACTATGATTAACTTGTGATGACCTTATACAAGGCTGTTGTCTGTACCTTATAAAATAGGGGTAGATGATTTTTGAAGGGAAAGAAATATAAAATACACGAGTCCATTGAAGATAGAACAGGCAATAAAAAGAGTTTGTTATTAGGTTAAATTGAAAGGAATTTATTAAAAAAAAAAAACAATTTAAGTAATACAAAGCAGAATATCGAATGATCAAAACGACAATTGCAATTAAAGAGAAAAGAAATAAAAATCAGATATTACTAAAAAAAAAATTATTACACCAACACATTATATTCTAATATTTAATAAACAATTGCTCTGATCAGACCTTAATACACACGCGACGTTCCGACTTTTGGTTAAAATCTGATAAATCCATCGAAATTTGACCCAGTGGTTCGATGACAACATTTTTGACAGTCTTCAGAGGTAGAGGTCAACGAAATTTTGAAACAGTACCGAAAATTATCAAAGATATTCTTCAATCAATATTTATCATCAGGGGACAATGTAGATGGTGAGCAGTGCAAATAACTTTTAAAAGGGGAAAAGAATTTTTAAAAAAAATTTAATATTTGTTAATCAATTAATGTATTTAAAACAACAATTACGAAACAGTCAAATGTTACATTTTGCCTTATCTTTAAATGGGAAAGTAAATAATTACATTTTATTTGTACAGATATATTTTACTAAGTAGGTTTGGTGGAAACTTAAAGTTAAAATTTTTTAATTTAGTTGTTTTGATTGTCACACAAATTATTAACCAAGCATATTTATGAATAAAATAAATGTATACACTATCACTTTTTCGCATATAATTTCGTGCTACTGTAAATACAATTCATTTTTTATGAATTATATACATTAAATTATTGATGATAATCTATGAAGATTAATATCAATATTTTTATAGTACATCAGTTTATCAATTCATTGAACATTATATAGTAAACTGTAAATGATGTTAAGTTTACTAAAGTTATTCTTCATATTTTCTTTCTTGTTCTACTTAAGCTGTTATAAAAATATTGTCAGTTTTATACAGTATGTGTGTGTAAAGGCCAAGTTATCAATTTTAAATATTAACACCCCTCTTTTTAATCTTTAAATCGACAAATTAAAGAAGGGTCCAAACTCAACCCAATCAAACCTTTTATTTTAGATTTTGTATAATACGACCACTACCTGTTCCTTAATTTAAAGAATATTTAGCCAAAATACAATTCAGTTCAGACAAAGAATAAAAAGATGAGATACAACGCTTTCTTATTTAGTAGGAAGATGGTATGATATATATATATATACAGAGGAATAAAAAACTAATACAGCTTGTTAAATAGTGTATTGATTGCTTCAATAAAAATGATAAAAAAATTATGATGATACCAAGTTTAAAATTATGTGTGCAGGTGTTCCATAATGTTTTGACATACTATTATTATGGAAAATTGTTAAAAAATCGTAGAATAGATTGTATTTATTCATTGGAATAGAGCTGTTGTCTAGTAAACAGAAAATTATCTAAGAGACGTTAATTTAAGGCTTACTTTCGTGTATAATATAATAAAATTTTTGGGTTTGTTATTTTTCAGCTATGTCGAAATGCATTATCATGGGCAATGACTTTAGCCAAGGAAGATAAATTTATGCATCAACCAGACAATCCTTTCGGAGAAAATCTTTTTAGTATATGGTCATCAAACCAAGCAACTGCCAAAGATGCAGTTATTAATTGGTATAAAGAAGGCAAAAATTATGACTACACTAGAGAGCCCAGAATTTTAAAATCAGGTTAATAAAAATTTTATGAGAAAATGCAGGTTTAAGTTTAATTTATGAAAATTGAGTCTATATAAGATACAGATTTTTGATTAAAAGTGGTATCTAATATTATTTTAGTAAAAAATTAATATTTTATTTTGAAAAAAATAAAATAATGAATTTTTTTATAATTCAAAATACACTTAGACAAAAACAATTATCAGGAAAAGAAATGGGACATAATTCCATTTGTCGTTAATCCCTCTAATTAGAGTCTCTTGGGTCACATTTGTGACATTATCAAGCATTAAGGGTGCTGTAGGTACTTAGCTTCCTTAAGTGAAAAATTATGACCCCCAATTACTTTGAGTGTCTCTAATGAATCGGTTAGTGGAAAAACAGTACTAGTCCAAAAAGTTAAATTTGAAATGATCAAGTTTTAAAGTTTAAAAATTCTGTATGCAGTAACTTATAGACTGTAAAAAACCAGGAAATTTTATAGCCGCTTTCACAAAGTTCCTAATGACTTTAGTTAGTTTTGAAAAATTATAATATTGCAATAATACGAAGTATCATTATTTATAATATATTATTATTATAACGAAACCCAACCAGCCTGAGTAGTACTCTAGTAGTTCATTTGATGCTTTAATTTCGAAGTAAAGAAAATTAAATAGGTCGCTGTTCATCCTGTATTTCTTCATTTTGAACCAAATTTTTAAACATAGCTATGAGCTTGATATAAATGAAGGCCCGTTTCATCAAAGATCCAATGTAAATAACGTGTTTATATTGATGTCTAGAAGAGAGAGAGTTGGCAGGATTACAACTAGTAGGCCTATATCGTCTTCTATTATTACCAATTGCATCAATAATTTGAGTTATTCTATTTGCTACATATGTTTACCATTGAGACGGAATTCTTTGAATCCAGACAAGAACTACGGTGGCATCGCATCAATAATAAACGTTTTTTTCTTCCATATTCATTTAATATCTGATTTGATAGTAAAGTTAGGACCAGCTAATTGATATTGTACACCTAGTGTACATTTCCGATTTGAAATATCAAATATCTAATTTGGTAATTTAATTATCATTTGCAGTAGAATATATCAATCAATACATAATGATTATTTAAAACAATAAAACGTCACTTGTACGATGACTGATACTGATGGCCATTCAGCTGAGTTAATGCTTTCTTCTTTAACTCCACTTATCAGTAGCTTAATTAATTTTTTTTCAATATTCAAGCACTTCTCGTATTTTAAAATATCACATCTTCTACGATAAAATATTTAAGTGATTAATTGTCCAGCGCATGTCTGCAAAGGACACCATTTTCCATATCTACCCAATCAGTTGACAATAATATTTGTTTTGATACACTGTGTTACTAATTTGTCCATTGATATTTGAACTAGAAGTAGAGACAATAGCTGTATTAGTCACAGCTAATTGTAGTGTGCTATTTGCCGAAGAAACTGCTTTTGCAGAACTTTCAGAGTTAGGTTTTGCTAACTTTTTTTCGTGTGGTAAATAATGAAGTAGTGAATTATGATGATTTTTGCAATAACGACAAGGTTAATGGAAATATATAAATTTAATACCAATAAAGAAAAAATGAAGGAAAACCTTTTTGTCGCATTACAACTTTACTTAAGTTAAATGTAAAATATTATACTACAAGAATATTTATATAATTTACACTTATTTAAAAAAAATAGTTATAACAAATTTTCCACTGTATAATAAATTGATAATTTTTATGAGGATAGACACAAGTTATATTTCAGTATTTTTTTTTTATGTATCAATTTCTTTGGACATTTTATGCTCTTTTAAATAATTACACTATCATTCAAATTCGGAGATTTTTTTTCATTTTATTTTGAAATGTGTTTGATGATAATTTAATAATAGTGATACTTTATTACATATTTGAAATTTTAGTTAATTATATTTTTCTTCACTTATTCAATTTTTTTAATAATTACGTTTTTGTTTTGATACAGGTCATTTTACTCAACTCGTTTGGAAAGGATCAAAATCCATGGGCATTGCAATGGTCAAAGGAAAGTCTGGTAGAATTGTAATAGTGGCAAATTATGATCCTCCTGGGAATATAATGGGACAATTTACGGCGAACGTTTTGAAACCAATTTAATTTATGTAAAAAATTATTGTTATTTAGTATATAGTATTAAAATCATAATACTTACATTCCTATTGAAAAAAGACTCATTTCAAAACTAAATTTTTCTTATTTCTCTATTATTTAACATACTTTAGTTAATTTATTAGATAATATCATTATATTTGTATATTAATTAATTATTTTTCGTAAAATATGAAAAGAAATTAATTTATTTTATTTAATGTTTTATAAACAATTAAATATAACTTGAATTTTTTTTCTAAATAAATAGTTAGGACAATTTAATTGATGTCAGTTTTTATATGTATGATTAAGATAGCATTATACATTATAACAATGTTATAGTGATATACCTAAAATTAGTAAAGTAAAACTATTGTAGCTTGTTTTAATTCGCTAAAAAATTTCACTTTAATGTGTATAATTATTACATATTATAATTTTGTATTAAAGTGTATGCCAATTTTACACTAGGAAAGCAAACTATCTAACAGTGATTTAAATGAGTAAGTGTACAAGTATAAAAAAAAAAAATTTAACACAATTTTTAATTAAATATAGTACATAAGTTAGGGTATTTTTTAGTTATTGTTAAAGGATATTTTTCTTTTTAAGAAATGTTAAGGCCAAAGTTGTTTTTATAGGCGTACAAAAAAATCAGAAAAATTTCAGGTTGATTAGACAAGTTTAACTTGTGCCTATTTGGGGTTGAAAATTAGCCATTTAGGGTAGTTTTTTTTTTCATTTAACTCGTAATCAAACGAAAAAAGAACAGAATATAAAAATTTAATTAAGAAAATAAATAATATAGATCTCATGACTTTGTAATAATTGATTTACTTATTTTATTATGATTTAATTTAATAAAATAATGTCATTACGTAAACATTTCAGGTTGCCAAGATTCAATTACTGACTGGCATAATTTTTTTTTACTAAGTATTTTGTTACAAGTTTTGTGAGTTTTTCTGTTATATAAACACTATATAAATATCATACTTTAAGAATTGTTCATTAATCAAAGACTTGACATACAAAATGAAGACCCTAGTCCACAAAGAGTACAAGTGACAAATTCAATATTTGGAGATATATATGCCAAATATTGAATTTGTCACTTGTACCCTTTTTGAACTAGGGTCTTCTAATGGACAATTACACAATCTTTTAACTTCTATGGTCTTATAGGTCAAAATTCATTTTGAAATGTATATCTTGTACAGATCAGTGTCTGTTTATATAGTAACATGACAATCACTTTTCCGTTGGTTTGTAGTTTGTCTGCTACAATTTATGTAAGTCACTCATTTGGATGGCTTTTGGACTTTTTTCATACTCTGTTTACTGTTAATCGGATATGATATCCGATTAACAGTAAACTGGCATGATGCCAGTGGAGTTTCTTAAATTTGTACGGTGCACAGTTTTTTTTATAAATAATTTGTTTATATATAATTTAATAAGTTTTGTTTCTACAAACAAACGTCAAAAATTATCACGACTAAGCTAAATCTAGCTAAGAACAATATGCCCTAGAATTGGAACTGGTTTTATTTTCATCTAATGCCAAGTACAATAAAATGTATCAAAAATTTCCATAGCTTTTTTCTCGGCGTTATTTCAATACAAATGGGCATTTTATCAAAGTATCCTCGCTACTGATGTCTTTAAAATTGTCGATTTTGCGGGGTGGAAAATGCAGATCGAAAAATTACAAATCAGTAACCACTAGCAAAGGTCATTTTTCAGAGTGTCTGTTAGCTTAAAAACACTGCATTTTTATGTTTAGAAGACGAAATACATTTCATAAAAATTATTTTATCGAACGATTCCGACTTTTTCTTGGAGAAATTTGACGGGTATCAATAATATTCAGTATTCTCCATAGACGGCAGGAATCCGTTACAGAACACTAAAATGTGACACAGATAATTCTAGTGTCAATAAATGTTATAAATATAATTTAGGTAACACAAACGCACAATATGTCTAAATAATAAATGCTACGGCACTGGCCGCCGAAAGGAAAACAAAGAAATTTAAATAAATAAATATACATATATTTATTTAAAATTAAACAAAAAGGAAAAAATGAAATACGTATGACCAGTGCCGGAGCAAACGTCGGGCCCCGCGGTGGCTTGGTTTAATTTGCCTTTTTTGTCGGTTGAGCAAAAAAAAAAGATCTAAAAAAAAATTAAAAAATTTCAACCCAGAAATAGAGATAACTACCGGGGCCAACTTGCCCCGAGCCTCGAAAAACGTATGACTTTTTCTAATAGACACCCAAGTACCTTTCAATGTACGACACGTGATCGACGGATAGCGTTAGTTCGCGTAGGACTTCAAAGGCAAGCGGAGTGTTCACCGCTAGCGGTCCAGTAGATACCAACAGTATCAAACAGTAGACAAACCCAACCAGTAGATAGATGAGTAGTTTTGTACTCAAATCAGGTTGGGTTGGCGATGTAAATAAGGCGGCTGACGAAAAGACGAAGTGAACGTATCGCAAAATATACGGTACCGTGTCAAATGTTGATAGATATGTTTTAATAGATTGTTGTGCGAGTGATGCACTTTTTATCTGTTTAGCCAACGCAATTTGATATAAACACGAGTCCGAAGTTATCAAACGCGCTTTAATGTCCCCAGCTGTTAAGTGATGAGGCTATGACAGTCTGTGTGATGAACTTGAAACAGGTACTCGTTTACCGTGTGTCGGATAAACTTTGTTTTGCCAAATACGTTGGTGAAAAGCAAAAGGCCTTATTTTTTTATTAGTATTTTCACGGCAACTAGTGATCGTTATGTACAAATTGGTATGATGCAAGTAAATCAATTCCGAGAGACTTACAAAGTCATTGATTGTACGGCCTAGACAGCCTACAGTGTTAATGACGTGTATTTTCTGTTGAAAAATATCTTAATTTGATTAATCGGTAGAAATAAATACATATTTTTTAACCTATTTATTAAATAGTATTTGATACATTTTTTACTTTTAATTTCATTAATATTTTTCTATTTGTTTATTTGTTAATTTATTTGTTTTTAAAAAACTTTGTTATTAAGGACATTGTTACATATATATTTGTATTATTAAAATACATATTCCTGGCATTTTTTATTATTAATTACAATACGCTTTAGTGAAGTTTTTCTTGGAATCTAATTGAAAATCGTAAAATCTTAGTCATTTAGTTTTTAATTTATTCAATTAAAAATGTTTGCATATAATTTTAGAATACGATCAGCAATTTTATTGTTTTATGATTGACCACTGACGGTCCCGAAAAGGTATCATAAATTAAGTTTCCTTAAAACCTCTCAAATCTTTTCATGTATGTATATTACATTATTTTATATATTAACTATAGTATAACCATAATGGTTCATGTGATATATTTATAGAATTCGATAAATGATAAAAATTGTCGAATCTATTCAAGAAAAGAAAATATTTATCACTTTTGTTAAATTTTATTATGTTTAACAAATATATCGTATGCGACTATTTATACAAGTAAATATTCGAAAATTAGCCTCCTGATATTAAATGATTAACTGGCGACACATGAGTATAAATTTGATAATAGACTTAGAAAATGATTTAACATTATCGCATACATTTTAGTAAAATTATAGATAGAGTTACACGAATCTTGATTATACAATGATTTTCATCGTATAATATGTATATAAATCATTGTTTACCGAATATTCCCACTAGAATAAGATTAAATATATATATATATTACAATAAAAATGAAACGCCTAAGAAAATAGATAAAATGAATACCTTAAGTATTTATAAAAAAAATTAATTTTGATTTATTTGCTTTCCAAAAATTTTGTTAACATGGATTTACTCGATTAAGCAAAAAGTTTAAATTTATTTTTAACTATTTTATACTCTGGAATCATAAAGTAACTATTAATTTTTTTTTATAATCAGTATACTAAAATTTTCATGTTTTAAATCATAATTTTGAGTACAATATATAACATTTTATAGGTAATAAACTTTTCTACTTATTTACCAAGAACATTCGGTATATTGGTAGATAAATATACCGAATTTAAATAAACCCAACCCAACCGAATTTAAATTAATTTAAAAATTCAGAGAAACTTCTTAGGAAATAATTTAAAATAAAGTTATAATAAAATAAGTTTTTAGAATCTAAGAATGTTGAAATTTAAATTTTCAAATTAAATTTGGATTTTTAGATTATTGTACAGTAATTTTCTGAGCTAAATAAGGGAGGTATAGTATTTTTTTTACTTCAAAAATAAATGTTTAGAATATTTTATTTACTATAAATTGGTAGTTTGATTCATGCCAATTCAATCATAAAAATATTTAATATATTCATGTATATACTTAAGTATAATAGTCTGGCAGTTATTTGTGATAAAATTTAAAACCACAGGAAAACATTAAGAGTAAAACTAGATTTCAGAAAAAAATTTTAATTGATATCAATAGATATCTTCTAAAAATTTACACTCTAACAAGCAATAAAAAAACAACATCAATATTCTTAGCGATTACATTTTGACACAAATGCAATTATTATAATAACATTTAATGTTTTGCTTTTCAGTCTTTACAAAAAAAAAAATATATATATATATTTTATTATATATACAAAATAACAAAACATAGTAATATTAATAGTAAAAATAATTAAAATATAATATAATCATATATATATATATATATATAAGGAGTGTTGAAACACCATTTCAAGATATACATTTATCTTTTAATTCAAATTTTAAACAATCGGGCAGTTAAAAATACTTCTTATGAATGCTAATAAACATATGATATTAAATGATGTTTACTACCAAATTGTTGAGTATAAATATTTAAGTGTATACAAATTTTCAATATAAAACCAAATACATATAGCATACGTGTATAAATCGTATGAATTTAAGAAAAATAAACAATTGTGGTAACATTAAAGATTTATATGTAAACGATAATGGTGAGAAATATAGAAAAATGATTTTAACTAAATCATTTGATTTATGAAAATGGCACGGACAAAATATTATGCTTCCTAAATTTCTCTTTTTTTAATCATCAAAACATTGTTAACCTTTTAAGATTTTGTAATCATTGAGAAATATAAAAATATTTTTTTTTTAATAGTGATCAAATATTTAAAAGTACTATAACAATGAATTTATGAACACGTATCAGTCACTATTTAAAGTTTTTTTTTTTTTGAGCATTAAATACTGTAATAAAATAATGTAAAAATACATATATTTAAAAATAAATAAATAAATAAAAAGAAAGAAAGAAAGAAAAGAATAGAAGAAGTTGTCATAACTACTTGGGCATCATACAAATACTAGGTAACAATATTAATAATAATTAATCATAATAAAAATAATAATAATAATAATAATAATAGTAATGATAACAGATAACTTGGGGACATAAGAAGCAAGGTACTATAAAAATTATAAGTATTTAAAAAAAAAATATCTAACAGCTAATATACAAGGGTTACATAAATATATATTAATATATTTATTACATAAAAATTATCTTAACCTACTTTAAATTAACAAGTTCAATAAATATTAGTTAAACATTTAGGCGTCAGGTATACATAATACGGCTACATAATAATCTGGAAAGTATTGCTGCGTGTTATTATTATTAATATGAATTAATAATAATTTAAAATATATAGATTACTTACTTATATTTGTCGAGTGAAATAAGAAGTCTTAAAAATAGTCTATTAAACACCAATGTTTGGTTGGCGTCTTACTGGATTATTTAATATTTGCCGTCCTTCTTGTAATGAGCGTAGAATTTGTTTTTGTTTTTCATGCTCAGTCTTTATAACCAAAAATTTAACATTTAAAATTTGTAAACACACAATTTTTTATTATATTGATAATTACTTTTAAGTTGGACAAATTAGTAGATAATAAATGTGCATCAGCTCTTGATGGAAAAGATTTTAGATCAGTTTGAATATCATTAATTTGTCCACCCTGCTGCTCAATTGATGTATTTAATTTAAATTGTTCCTTTTTCAGTAGTTCATCTTCAATACATTCATCATGTTTTAAAACGTGCATGAGCTAAACATGTTTTTAAATATTTTTATTAAATTTAATAACATTTGTAAGTAAAATTATTAATTTAATTGTAAAGAAAAAGAAATTAAAAATTTACCGGTAAATTGTTAATATCAGGAAGATTTTCTTCTTTTAAAATACCTTTTCATAAAAATTTTAAATTAGTAATTAAGAATTGAGCTAGTTAATAAGTTCTTAATTTACCATTAGGGTTATACTGAAGAGACATATTAAAATTTTCTGTTGGCAAATATGAGTTGTCAATTGATTTTTCATTATCATTGAGCATTTGTTGGAACTAAAAAAAGTGATTTAAAATAAGATTAAATAAAAAAAAAAACCAGGGCAATTGAGAGGTATTCAGTTTAATAATTAATTAACTAGCCTATGTGTTATTCTTTGCATATTATATAAATTATATTGTACAATAATTATAAAATTTATTTATAACCCATGAAAGGCTTGAAAAAATTTTTAATGTTGTTATAATTTATAAAAACCTCTTAGTGTATTAAATAAATTTCATTTACATAGTTAGAAATATTCATTATTCTTTACAGAATATAAAAAAACAATTGAAATGATCAATAAGTTCTAAAATAAACTTATTACAAATATAGGATCTAAGGAAGAATACACTAATAGTGTAAATTCGTAAAAATTATTTTTTATTATTTAGTCAATAAAACCTTGTTGCATTATAAAATTTAAAGTTTAAAAAAACAAAAATAATTCAAAGAAAATTGAGATTAATTACTACTGAATGCAAAATAAAAATCTGAAAAAGTTTAAAAATTATGCTATGTTTTTCAAGTAGATATTTAACATATTTAGTTATTAAACTTCAAATATGGAAATAAAATATTAAATAACCATAGAAACAGAAGTTTCATTAAGTTGGATTTTCATTAATAAAATAAATAAGAAATAAAATTATTTTTTTAGACATGATTTATTATTCACCATCATCAAATTATTGAAATATTAAATACTATTCCCATTGTACAGGAAGGTATAAAAACAAAAACTGTATTATATATTTTATATTTTTGTAATAACAATTAAAGGTAAAAAGTTCTTTATATTATTTATAAATGTTAAGTGTTTCTATGCAATTATTACTTAATTAACAACATAATAATTACCTTTTCTTACAATAGTGAAATTAACTTTATGAAGTAAATAAAAAAATAATAACTGAACTACTTTTTAAATGATGGTGACAGTATAAAAATTTCTATTGTTTATATAAGATTCAGAAATGAAAAGTAAAGTTTTATTTAACACCGATCATTTAAATACATTATTATTTTTAATTTTAATAATTTTGAGTGAATATATATTATTATATATTATAAATATAATAAAATATACTATTATACGAGTATTAGAGTCAACCTATGGCCTAGTTGGTCGAAACATATGTTTTGTTGCTTGGGTACCCATATTTGATCTCCAGGACACCAACGGGATTTTTTTTGTGATTTTCTTATTGGCGGTGTCTGGTCTTGAGTGCAAGCTGGCCATAATACCCTCCCTGTCTATTATTGACTTAGCTAAGAACCATTTTTACTTTCTAACATGTGAAAGAAGGTCACCACCTTCTGTAGCATGTTATGTTCAGGAAATAGAAGAATGTGAAACTGATCAATGTATTTTTTTAATATACTATTAATATTTAGTGAATATATTTTTCTAGTTGTTAAAAATAAATAAATATTTAACTAACTTATACAAACAAAACCTTACCGATAAAAGTGAAAGACCAGGCATAATATTCTCATCAGTTAAAGGATCTAAAGCAAAAACAAACAAAAAAAAATTTCTTTTACAAATATTATACATAAATGAATTTTAAAACTTATATTTTATTATATAATGAAATATCAAAAAAATCTGCTGTGTCTCCAAAAATTACTAAATAATAAAAATTGTTTTTTTAATAAAAAAAACTTAGTCATATTATACCAAGAATGTTACTTGTAAATATAAGACATTTTTTTAATAGTACTTTTTTTTTTTTTTAAGTCTCTTCAGAAGAACACTTCAGCGTTTTTCCACTCATCTTAAATTTTTACTTAAAATTTTTATTAAAATCTCTTGGTTTTTTTCTTCAAATTATACATGTTAATTTTTTTGACATAAAATTTAACACAAATACAGCCCCCGTACCCCCATGTACTGCACTCAAAATCACTGTGCTACGATAAGAACAGCACTACTAAGGTTAGGAGTGAAACCTAGTAAAAGTATAAAAAGAAAATGGGCACAATAAAATATTTTGGGGGTTCCGAGTAGCCAATCTTCCTAATTGTTCCTATGATAAAGAATTTTTTTTTCCAAATGTATGATAGTATGTATAAGATACAACCAAGTTAAATACACAATCTTTTTAATAATACCTAAATCGATGTCGTGTTCATCAACACTGCCATTATCAAACTGTGAAGGAGTATTTTGAAAACTAGAAATTCCATCCAGAGAAGATAAATCATTAGAATTAGTTTGATAATCTGATTGAGAACTATCTTGAATTGTACTGTTATATTGGCTGCATGCTGGTAACTCAATAACTTCTGTATTTGGGTTAAGCCTTGCTTTTTTGAGAGCAATTTCAGTTGACTCAGATTCATTATGGCGTTTGGAATTAACCAATATAACACTTCTGCGTTCATGATATTCTTGTTCTTTATTCACATTGATTTCTTCATTAAGAGGACTATAAACAACTACAGGTTGCCGAGCAATAGGTGGAGCTACTCTAAGTACAGATGGTCTATCTTGAGTAGGTGGTTTGACAACAGGTTGAGGTGATAGAGATGAACATTTGTCAATTTTTGGTCGGTTAGAAGATTTAGCTACAGGTGGTAAGGATTTTGATAGCATTGCAACTTTCATAAATTGGCTATCTGGTAATGGACCAAGTTTTTGAGCACTTTCTTTTACATTATCAATTGCTGGACCAGGAATATTTGCAATCATTTGTTCAACAACTTTGTCTAATGTTTTAGGATCTTCAGTAGTTGCATGTTCCAAAGATGTAGTAGAATCAGCTTCCATCTAAAAAATAATAATATTAATAACTTCAAATTTAATAAATAAATGATTAATGCTAACCAATTGATTGCCTGTTATTGCAGTTATTCCAGGTTCATATTGATTACGTATTAGAGGAGTAAATCTTTCTCTCATTTTGATTATTTCTCTTTTGCCTTCTTCTGGACTTACAAGAGTATTAACACAAATAAAAGATTCAATTGAATCTTCATTTGAGTTCAATTCAAGGTAACCATAAGTTTTCATGTATACAAATTCACCATTTTTAGATAAAAGACGATAACAGCTACTACCATAACTTTGACCTTTAAAATACACTGAAAATACAAATAAATTACACTATTAATATTTTAAATAATATTTAAGCAACAAATTAAGATATACACATACTTTGTCTAAGAGCTATCATCACCCAACGTACATCATCTTTGTGCATAAATGTAAATGCTAATTTTCCAGATACCTCACAAGGCATGAATCCAGATACAACAGATATTCTACAAATAAATACAGTACATTGTAATTACTATAATTTTTTTTATTTTAGTTCATTGTAAAGTTATCTAAGTTTTGCATATTGTAAATTGTCTTATAAACTATAAAATTGTGTATAACAAAAGTATTAAAAATAAATATTAACCTATGATCAACATAAATTATACGTCCATCTATTTGATGTCTAGTTATGTACTCTTCTCTTGTTGCCTCAAGAACAGACACTTCAGTTACACGGCGTTCATTGTACAGCCTTACCACGGCATTTAAAACAATATCATTACCATTAAGCACAGCATCTACACAAAAAATCACAAATTAAATTATTGACCTATAAAAATGAATAACTTAAGATTCCTTTAAATTGTTAAATTTAAATGCAATACTATTTTAAACTGAATATTTAATATAATCAATTTTATCCATAAAGATTGGTGATTGGTTTATGATAAATCACCACTCTAATACTTAAAATAAATACAATATTGAAAATAAAAATTTGCTTTATTTTAGTTACATATATTTCTTGATTTATCCGCTAATACTTATTAGAATAATCCCTTAAAACTTAAAGGGGTGTTCAGCTATACTTTTTTAAATGGCAACATACATATTTCACTAGCTCATAAAATAAAAAATGATCTAATTAAGAAATTTATTGATAGATAACTTTTGGACCACTATTTCAGGAGTTATTAACAATTTAAAGTATTAAATGGAGATAAAAAGCAGTTGCTTCTATATTTATAGCTAGACAATTTCTGGGCGTTTTTTTCTTTCTACTTAAACACAAAAATGTGAATATCTTTCAAAGCACAACCAAGTTTTATTGACCAGTTATTTTCTTAATTAGATATTTATTAAAAAATCTATTACAAACATTCAGTCAATTGATTTTTTCATAAAAATAATCGAATAAAGATATAATTATTTTTTTTTTTATAATCCATAAAAAATGTTGGGTTTACAATAGATTTTTTTTTCTAAGAGTTGTTTTTAGGGACGGAAATTTATATGAGAACCTATAATATATTTGTGTAACTACATGAAAAATGGACTACATACAATTTTGATTAATGGATAAACTAGTTATTTAATTTTAAAACAAATATTTAAATAAGCTATCTATTTACTATGAACTTAATTCACTATTAAAACATAATACTCTTAAATAATTTTGACATTTTATAAATTATTAAAATACTCATTTGAATATAGTTTAGCTAATAGTTTTTACACTATACATTCTATAAAATCTTAGCCTATATTATGTAACATATTTTTACCTTTGGAGTTGCATTTAGCTTTGTTGGGTATCATTAGAGTGCCCACAACGTGTACTAATTCATATTCAGGCTGTTCTCCTCGGGATACAGCCCGTTTGAGCAATCTCATATAAAAGGAACGCCGTTGAATGTTGAAACGACGGTTTCGTTTTCCTTGAGAAGCGGAAACTTCATCAGGAGTAGCGACTAAAAATCAAAATATTTAATTTGTTATCTTTAAAATAATTCAATTCACTTACTGTTGTCGTTCGATGAAGGATCATCTAATGAATATTTTAAATTTTTAGTAAGTTCTTCATGATCTTCTGGACAAGTAATATTCAATAGCGAATGTCCCATCAAATCTCTCTGCAATAAAACTGATTATTATAATAAATTCTACAAGGATTAATAAAAATTATTGATCCTACAAAAATAAGCAGTGAATGGGACTACACGTGGAAATTCATAATGAACTACGATTTGTTTATCACAATTCCCCCATTCTGCGTTTTTAAACTTCCATTAAATATTAAAAATTTTCCATTCTCGAAAATTTTACAGATTCTTGCATAAATTCTTAAAATTCAGCTATAAACTATACAAACGTTTGAATTGTATTGATAGATATATATGTGAAAGATATACATATAATACGTTTTGAATGATTAAGTTATAAAAAAAAACAACAACAAAAATCATTAAAACTGATGAATAGTTATTAAAAAACCCATTTGTTACAGTGAGATAAGGATTAATATGGATATAGTTGGGCCTTTAACTATTATCTGTTCTTAATAGCTCACATATAATTTAATTAATAATAAAATATTTAAGTAAGTTGATATTGCAATGAATACAGAAAAAGGATGAAACAATAGGATGCCATACTAAAATAAGTAGGTTAATATATCAATAAACTGTAACACTATATCTAATAGTTTAATGAATGAACTTAAAAAATGATAAGAATACGTGATCCCAGCCTAATTTATTTCAATACATTGCAAGTATAAATATTCATTAAAATATTTAGGAATATAAAGCAAGTTGGACATTTAAACGAACACAGAATTTATCAATATTCACAGGTCATAGAAAGACAAAATATAGAAAAAAGATAAACTGAATAAGTTATTAACATTACGCATTAGGTGAGCAACAGGTGAAGAATGTGAACTATATGTACAAACAGTTAAGCTTGATATAGTGGCGCCTACTGGCTAACGATTTAACTAATAATGATATTTTATGAGATAGTACTACTTTATCATTAAACTTGAGGTAAAAAAAAGAATAATAATAATAGACAAAGTTTTAAGAATTCTTTTTTTAATTATTAAAAAAAAACAACACAGATAGGCATTATACGAAATGCAATCCAATAACTTTCTATTGAAATAGAAATTAATCAAATATAGCTTAACTACAAATTTTTTCAATCTCAACCCAAAATAATAAGGGAACAAATTTTAAACTATAAAAGAAAAAGCATGAAGCATGTTTTACTGATTTGAAACACATTAGTCTCTCATTTTATTAATGTAAATGATTATTACTAGAGCTGGCGCTAGAGTTGTATCCTTGCACGAAGCCCCGCGTTTAGAGGATTACTTTAACAAGACTCATCATTCATTAAAGACAAATTCACCCAGTAACATTAAGGTGACTCATATTAGAAATAAATAATTATTCGTTTACACGTATCTGTATTTATGAACTATATGTATAAAATAGTATTCTTAGACTCTTGACAAGTCTTCATATTCTATTGTACTATCAAAAATATAGATTATTGTCGGCATTTTAACGAGTTAATGATCATTGATATATATGTATATTTACAGCTGTATAATGCTAGGAATATAATATTTTAACTATCACATTATTTTGAATTTTTTTTTTTAATAAGATAAGCCTTGCAACAGTCATTGGTTATTAAATTTTCTAATTATGTAAAAAGTTCATATATTTATATTATTTTCAATAAAGATATATTGAACCATTTCTTTATCAACTATTTTACTTTATGAGAAAAAAAGTCTTTAACTTTTATAAGGGGTCTTAAAAAAAAGATAGCACTTGGCCACGCGGCAATTCTAGCGCCTTGATTATTATGACCACCCGTAAGTGATCTTGTAGATCTGAATGTTGAATAGAAGTATTCAAACGTTTTTTAATATACTATAACTACTTCATTAGTTTGATTATTTTTAATAACATTTTTTGAAACGAAAACTAAAGAGTCCTATCTCTTGTGGACATTGTATATATAGCAAAAATTTTTTGCTTTTCAATTGACAAGATAACTACGTAGAACAAACGTTTTGGAGGGCTTATTTAACCCAAATCGATAAATTAATTTATCTAGTTTTACTAGATTACAAAAGTCTAGAATCGCCTATTTAAAACAGCATTATTTTTATTATGATGTTATAAGTTGAATCATAATAAAATTAATTAAACTAAGATACAAATAATAAGAAAGGTAAACTTTATGATAGGGATAACTAGAAAACAAAGAAGTAAAAATTAGCTGTTGACCTTCAATTTCTCATTTTATTTTTTTTGACGAGAATTCAAAATAGCTTTAAAATATAAAAAAAACCGCAAAATTCTTTGTCATAAAAAAGAAGTCATTGTATTCACTATATTAGCATAGATTTAAAAATTAGATTTAGAATTATTAATTTGGAGAATTTTTAATGGGTAAAAATTCTAAATAATTCCTATTTGTTTAAATGATTTAGTTAATAATATAATAAATTAAGTGAATGAACTCCTCTACCATCATAATAATCTTATGAGCCCACTAAATGTATATATGGTTTTAACCTTAAACAATGCATAATCTTGGTCGATGTAAAATAAGACAGATAATACCGTTATAATGCATAGGTATAATTACACTAGCCGAGTTCAAATCTAACAAAAACCAAAATAGCATTAGATAACCAAAATGATTCTAGCTTAGTAGCATATTTAGGTTAACGTATTATTGTTTAAGTTCGGGAAATAATATTCTAACGCTGTATGACACTGTTTTTTCTTAACATTGAAGAGAGAAAAACGAGAAACGATATGCAATACTAAAAAATACTTAATTAGATTCACAGACACAAATTATTCAAAATACAAAATTAATTAGGTCTTCAGGATTATATCCATAGCAGAAATAAATTTCGTAGATGTAGTAGAATTCATTTGGAAAACCTGCAAGATATGTAAAATTAGATTATGCATGCGAACTCGATCGTGAGTATTTTATTGAGATTGGCTAACAAAATGTTATTATCAATTTAAAATGCCATCAAATGTAAATAGGGTAATATTGCAGATTTAAAGAATTTTGGTAAAGTGTAATTGGACGACGGAATTTGTTCGTTGAATTCCATGTGATCGGTAGTTTACAATGTATGCATATTTGTATATGTATACTATACATATATTAATATATTTAGAATATTCTGCAACTAAATTTACCCTGCTTAAAACAGGTTTTAAATAGATGACAACATTTTTGTCATATTTAACTATAAAAAAACTACATTTTAAAAAGAATTTAACTACGGAAAAAAGTATTTTAATCTATTAGTCGAAAATTAAAATAAAAAACGATAGCACAGTGAGGACACATCACACTATGAACGTGTCATAGTTGGGACAAGTATAGATGATATCTGACAGTATTTAAAATCATGATAAGAAATTGGTGGATTATTCCAAAAGCAAAATAAACTCATATTTTCTTATTTGTAACTCGATTAAAAGTTTTAAGATTTAAAAGTATATAATATGAATAAATATTCATTATAGCAATTAAATATCATATGACAAATTGATATTTAATAATTTAATATTGTAATTCTTAAATAAAAAATAAAAAGAAAGTTGTATATTTTACAACTTTTATAATTTAAAGATAAGTTTAAAATCAAAATAAATATATCTGAATAAAAAATTAGGGAGAATTTTCTGCCTATTTCTGGTAATTCTACAATTCACTTCAAGGACACTAAAATGGGCATTAAAGTTAGTTGAAATCTTCAAAAAGGTTTTTTTTTTAACTTAGGAAGTAGGGATTGGCCAAAAAATGTTTATAAAGTTTAAAAAAAATAAAATATGTTTTAATATGTAATCGTTTTAATTAGTTACAACATTTTGTGGTATCGTTGAGAAAAACTGGTGCAGTGAGATCTTAGTTTAAGTAGTGAAAAAAAAAAAATAAATAAATAAAAACATCTTGGTAAATTAATACCTCCACAGCTTCGAATAGAAGGTAATAATTTCAGTTTAACTATAAAAATAAACATTCTAAGAGTTAATTAAATATATATATATATCTAGGTAAAATAATTTGTAAGACAATATTTATCTTTATAGTGAAGATTTAATGACAATATGTATTATACGAGCATATAGTTAAATAAAAATAACAATTAATTAGAACAGGGAATTCAAACATATACACGCTGATGGTTAAGTAGAAATTTGATGAAAAACTTAAAAATAATGACTGTTGACGGGGGAAAGCCAATCGATTTTTAAATAAATGAGGGTCTGCTTGACAGGCGCAGATGTTTTCAGCAGTAGAAACATAATCACAAATTAAAACTTTAACAATTAGTCAAGTTAATCGAATAATTAAAGAAATTGTAGTTATAATATCAATATGGATTATTTTTCGCTTATATATATATAAATATACAATGTTTCAATTAGGATGTAAAATACAGTTAAAATCTATAATAGACATCAAGTTTATTTACATTGTTTTTCAATTGATTTCAATTACCAGACGGTCGAAAGACCATAAAGACAGCCAATTATGTACATTGCAAATAGTATCAAGCATAATTATAAATATTAAATGGATTTGATTTTTAGCTTTTTGTATTACTGGTTAACTTACTTGAGAATGTCCCAGAATGCTTTCTACAGTATGTGACACAAATACAATTTTTCCAGTCGAGGTGACTAATAAGTATATGTCTCGATCCTATAAAAATAAATAGCTTAATTATTAAATTAATGTAATACAATTATAAAACCTTAGTACATAAAATAATAATATATACATTCAGAAATATTATTACAAAATATTAATTCAATGACAGATATCGTTTATTGGTATTGTATTTATTTTGAAAATAATTTTAGTTTTTCTTAAGAGAAAAAATAAAATATATAATATAACATTATGCAATACGTGAAAAAATTTTACCAAAGGTTTTTTCTTTTAAGTTAATTTAGCAAGTATTTTTTCATTTATCTACTTTATTTTTGGTTTCTTTTTTATTTATGAAGACGAAATATATATTAACTCAACGACAGATCTCGGAAGTTTCTAGTATAATGAAACTTTATTAATTTCAAGTTTTTATGCTCTCAATGCTTTATATATATATATATATATTTTTTTTTTTGAAGTTAAAGTATGATGCAATGTTACTTTAAAAATAACTGAAATTTTATAATTAATAGAATAAAAAAAACTTCGATAACTGATATAATGCTAAAAAAAATTAGTAATTAAAAAATATAATTAAATTTTAAAATAATCTTTTTAACTTTAAATAAAAATTTGTACCATGACTAGTATCATAAACTATAAAAGTAAATTTAAGTTAATTGCATGTAAATTATTCTAAATTAAATCATAATTTACTGACACGATTTATAAGATTTGCACATCGTTGACATATTCAATTAGCAGCACGAATGTTTATTCAGGACATATTTTAATTAATATAATAGAATATTCCACGTGCGTAGTAAGTAATCAAAAGATCATACACGGACCATAACATTTAAAGTAAAGCTTTAGTTTTGTGTTTCAATCAATTAAACAACACTATTTTTTCATAATCAAACTTTTATATATATAATCTTTTATTATGATAAATGAATAGTTTTCTTGAACACTATTATTAACCAAGATTATTGCCAATAAGAATTCAGTATTATTGAAATTTATATAGTTTTTAATTATGAAGACAGGTTGACAACAACAAAAAATAAACTGAAGCTAAATAAAGGGGATAAATTGAAGTCAACAGCTATAAAAATATTTGATGAAATCTTTAGTTGAACGGTGAACAGAATTGTACTAACAGATCCTACAATTTTTGATACAATTAAAATTTTTTTTGCAATTTTTTAAAAAATTACAACTAAAAAAATAATGTATAATTTTTTTTTATGAACACTTTGACTACGTTAAAATAATATGTTTTATTATTTGTTAAAAATAAAAAACACAGTACAGTTGCGTCGCAGAATAGTTGGGAAATATATAGATGATATCTGGACTTATTAATATCACTATAGCAAGAAACTCTTCAATGCAAATCTGTATAGTGTTGAGAAAAATCGGTCCAGTGAGATCTTAGTTTAAGTAGTGAAAAAAAAAAAAAAAGAAAAAGAAAAAAGAAGAAATTAACAAATTATGGTAAAATTAATACCTTCATAGCTTTACATCAAAACTAAAAAATATTGTATTAAAATATTTTTCAAAGGGTTATATCATATAAGTTTAAGATCTAAAATTTAAAATACAGAATTTAAACAAAAAAGAAGCATGTTTTTCAACTACAGTTGCCTTTTGTATATAGGAGATAAGATATCGAGACAACTTCACAATGTATTCGATTAAGTATGTATATTTTATTTCAAACTATCAACATTTCGAAAAATTAAATTTGTAAGAAAGTTTTGTTTTTTTTTAAACTCTTGTCAGTTACCAATTATCAATAAAAATCGTTTAAACTGTCAAATATACTTACGTCCATTAACAATTCGCACAAATTTACAGAATTCAGGTAGCTTGGTAATTTTTCTCTTTGTTCTTTGAACGCTGTTAACACTGTAGAATATAAATTACATGGAATTATTAATATTCTAAAAATTGTTATTTTACACTGTTGTAAAGGTCACTCACTTTGATTTAGTCGCAGCCATGTCGCACTGAGTCTGAGTACACTAGTTTTGTCCAATTTTTTTGGCGAACTAGAAACCAATGGCACCAGTGTAGACAGCTCGTTAATGTATTTATTTAATTTATCTCGCCGCTGTTTTTCAGCCAAATTTCGTTGAGCTCTACTGGATCTATTAAACAAAGGGTAAACGCACAATTAGTATAAAAATTGAAACACACATTATTTTCTTAAATTTTTAATTTTACATACAATAGGATCATAATACTAAGAGAAAAATTCAACAATTATGACTTAGAATCAATTCCAATGATAAATGTAGTAAGTTAACTAGAATTAACACTAACATAACGAAAGCTATATACCATGGTGCATAATAATTACTAATCAAATTTTTCCAAAAGACATATAGGTATAAGAGAAATACTACACTAATTTTTAGTTGAATAATAACTAAATAAACTCATATTAAAAACAATTTGTTTTTGTTGACAATAGTCAGGGAAACCGTGACGATGAAGTGCACTCTTAAAGCTTGGCAGTGAACCGTTTAACCTTGAATGCAACATGCGCAGATATGTCGTTTTGGCTCGACTTGCGCTTGATGCAATTGACAACAAATACACAGCTGATATGCGTTTTAGACATAGAAAACTTGCTATAAACAAGCGCTTCCACGCCAAGTCATGACGAATTTGATTGAAATTTTAGTTAAATGATCATCCTGATCTTCCATATATAATACTTAAGTGTCTTTTTTTTTTATCTACACGAGGCTAAAAATAAAAGGCTCGAATACTGATTACTTTGGTCATTATTATGTATTATAAAAATAATCATAATACTTCATTAAAACATAATAAACGGTAACTTATAAAGAAAAACAGGTTTATAAAAGGGTTTATCTACATTGTGTTGCACATTATTTCAATGTGCAACAAGTGTTACACTGGTTTTCTTAAGTTGAAATATTAAACAAAACATTGCAAGCAACTACGCAAGATTGAATTTACGAGCAAACGCAAATAAACATTAACAACGTGATTTCAATCATCTCGTAACACTATAAGGGCGATGCTATAAATAAGATAAGAATAAAGAAGGGGTAGACTGCGCAACGGTTAAAAATAATTGAATTGATTGAGGCAGAAGCCTACGAGGAACAACAACAGCGACGGTGAGGATGGCTATTGGAAATTGCGACACTTGTGTGGGGCACTCAAAAGGGTGTGAGGCACACGCGGCGGAAGTTTTGCTCTAATTATTGCAAAATAGTACAGCAACACTTTATTGAGCTTACATAACCATCTATTATGGTAAAAATATTTTTAAAAAATTCTGATTTAAGGACATCTTTTGTGTACTCGGACAATGTTACCCTAAATAATGCTCTAAGGTCAAACCATAAACGCGGTGATAATGACCTGAACAAATAAAATATATAAATCCCATATTAGTTGGGTTGTCTCAATAATTTAGAGTTGTAAAAATTCCACTTCCAAAGAAATATGGTAGTTGGCCAAACTTTTTTTCCTACAGAACGACATTATCGTGGGTCTGGTACTGCCGTTAGGCATTACTTCAGGACGGCAAAGCAGGTAGTCAGCCAACCTAATGTGAGTTAACATAGGCTGTATGCATAATAAATCACAAATCGGTTGTTGTATCTAATGTCAAAAAAAAAAAACCAGTCTCGGTAAATTACAAAGACCACGCGTCAACAACCATAGCATGGCATTCACATTAATTATTCTTGTACATTATAAAATATGGTAGTTATTTCTACTACACACATTTTAATATGTGATAGCTCATACAAATAGCTCTATTTGTGCCTAAAAAACTTCAAGAATCTTGGATTGTCACCATGAAAGTTTATTCGAAAATGCTAGGGTATATTCAATTTCTCAATTAGTTAGATTCAGAAGTCAGTTTATTTATTTGTCATATCTATATCAATTATGACGTATATATAAACGTTAATATGAATACAAAACCATTTTTCATTTACTTTACGAAGTTAATTATTTTGTTGCTTAACGTGAACATCACAAAATGGTTTTAACGACACAGTTTTAAGTTCATCGGTATCTCACATTCTGTAAAAAAATCAAAATAGTTACGATTCAACGACAAATGAGTTTGAAGCGCAACATCACGTTAGGCATATGTATACAAGTCTTTCTCTCAGTGGCAATGAGCGATATAAACATGGAATACGTTAAACAACAAATGGGCAGACGAAGAGAGACGAGCGCTGATTTCCGTAACCCGATAAAGCTATAAGCGCACTTACATTTAGGGAATATTGATTTATTATTTCAGCAGAGATATTGAGTAAAACTCTATAACGCCTCTGAGCTTTGAATAACATAAACATGCTTCACATGTTTATACGGGTGTTCGCAGATTTTTGTAACAAGTATAGTTCTGATTTTAAGAAAACAACTTGTTGTTTTATAAAACTAAAATAAAATACTGAAACAAAAAATTAAAAAGAACATATGACCCTTTAAGAATTATAATTAAATTCGTAAATTTTAATATGTATTAGAATAAATCAACCATGAGAAATAATTTAAAATACAATGCAAAATAACCTAGAGTAATTAAACTTATTCCTAGTATAAATATATTTTTTACAGCTTATTAATCAATCATCAATTTATTTAACTGGACAGTTCTGATTTTTATCTACTGACGTCAACAATATAATATTAAATTGAGCGATAAATTGATCGATCAAAAGAAAAGTTCAGAAAAATCTTTAAACAATAGATTTAAACTAATAGTATTCATAAAATATTTCTAATCAAATTAGGGTTTAAAATACATCAGAATCAGGGCACACAATTTCAATTCAATTATAGTGTTAATTAGTACAACCCGAATTTTTCTGAGGAAGAGTGGTATTTCAAATAATTTAACCAACTTATTATAATTATAATAAAAATTTAAATAAAACTAAAATAAATATTATAGGACGTTTCATATTTATAATTCAACGGGGGCCTATTGTGTCAGAGTATACACTATTTTAAGCTGCGAATAGGATAAGAGGACTCGAGAGGAAATTTTAATATCGTGACACATTACAAAGATCAATACTTAGTACTTAATTATTGAGTAATAATACTAAGAATTTGAAATGGAAAATAAACAAAATAGGTAAATACAGGTAAAAATATTTGCATAATTGGGTAAAATACTTTATCGAATATCCTAGAAATAAGTTTTCGAATCGTTTTTAAAATATAAAAATCATTTCATATTTTATTCAAATTTAAATAAAATACATTACTCAATACAATGTAGAGGCCTCAAAAATGTTGAATACTCATATATTATAATGTAATTTTTTTTTTTTTACAAAGGGAAATTTCAAAAAATTTCACCTCACATGTGATTATTTATTTTGGCATATGCAATGATATGCCAAAATAAATAAAATTCTTTGTTTAACAATAATCCTTAAACATTGGATGGATTCCTAATTAAGAACATAGAACTTCTTGTTGGATTCACACAAGTGATTTATATGTTATACTATTTATTGAGAAGAATAACATCGGTAGATCTGGCGCACGTGTTTTATCCACTAGAAACTAATAATAAGTCGGAGACACGCAAACACGCACAAATATTCAGAACAGTAATTATAATAAAAAAAGTGCGTGTTGCGTTCCAGAAGCAAAAAAAAAAAAAATTACGAATAAAACAACAAAAAAATAGAAATTCTCCCTAACATTAGTTGTAAAAACTGGAATTTTTGTTTACCAAGTCCGCAAATAGCAGCGCGTGCGTGTATCATTCGGGGTCAACAGTCGACCGCCAAGACTTCGATAAATTTGTCTGGGCAGCAGCCGACGAGTACACGTGCGCTTCTATAGGCTGACCCCTCTCCTCGTCTCGAAAACGGAGATTTCTTGGGATCTCGAAAAAGAAACGCGCATAGGGAACCAAAAATCAGCCAGAACACGGAAACGCGAAAAAAAATTTTCAAATGGAGAGAGGCAAGCAGCCAACCCTCGACGGCCTCCTCCAAACAGCCATTGAATAACCAAGCCGGATCTATAAAGAGACTTCTCAGAAAAAGATAGGCGCGTGCGAACCCAGCGCGGTTCGGCGAAAACCCTCACCGTTCTACCCTCCTCTTCGAACGAGGCACCCACCGGTACTCTGAAATCCAGGCGAACAAGCACCACCCCCGCGCCAGAACGTATAACCGACTTATGAGAGTTCCGGCGGTAGTAACAGTTCGACACAGGTAAACAACAACAACACTACTACTTTCAATAGTATTTATATCTGATAAACTTGTTGTACGTACATCGATGGAAATCTCTCACAGTAATTGATACAGACGGTTAAAAACATGTAGATTTCAACAATTTACACTTGAAGTTACCATCCATCATTACAATAAGTGATGGGTTAATTAATTTCTTATTCATAATAGTAGAACAATGAATTATTTTGAAAAATTATGCACGACAAAAGTATTGTGATGTTATTGTTGAAAGAACGCTATACAATGTAGTTCATAAAATTTTTTGTATTAAAATCATTAGTTATTAAGTAGACGATACATACATGTAAATATATACATTGACATTTTTCACTATTATGTTGTTTATTTACTCGATTTAATCCTCAATAGCGTCCATTTCCCATGAGTAAACAACGATCAAGAAAGTCACCATTTACCCCGATTAAAGGGGTGGTCGAAAACCGTACCATACCTGAGGGGTGAACAGATATCGAACGCTTAAACCACCCTTACCCCACTGGCTGTCATCGGCCTTGATGTTTTCATGGTAAAAACAGCCATAAATTAATAATAAAGCCAATGAGGTTACCAAGCAACAACACTAAGCGACACAGCCAGATACAATACTTATAATAAAAATATAAATAAATTCAAACATGTCGCGACACTACAGAAATATAACGTAACTTAAGATCTAGAAATTTTAATGAAATCTATTAGAACTAATATCATTTAATAATCGCAGCACAAGCGCTGCCGCAAGAAACTAGAGAGAGGTGGTAGTAAACGCCTGTTGCCACCCCTTGAACATAAGTAGGTAGGTATAAAAGTAACGCACAGCGACCCCATTCCAACGTTCTTGCCGTCACTCAATTCCCCTCTTTTTACGAGCGTTAACGCAA